TGGGGAATTCTGGGAGTTGAAGTCCACGCATCTTAAAGTTGTCAAGGTTGAGAAACACTGGCCTAGAGCCTGAAGGGGTGATAGAAAATACATAAATAAAGAATAAATATTCTTAAAAGTAATATTAGATTTTTTTTTCTCTTGTAAAATAAATGGTTCACTTATAAAATTAATTATTTAGAGTTGCTGGGAGTCAGGCGGCATATAAAATCAATTGATCATCATCATCTTCATTCTGGACTTTAGCTCTCCCCGTACCTGCTGCCAATTTATTAATGTCTGGCCTCCATCATTTTCATTTTATTTATTTATAGAATATTTGTACCCTCCCTCAGTCCTGACAGACTCCAGGTGGGATACAACAAAGCCCCCCCAAATGCATTCAAAGCCTATATGAATAATAGAAATCAACAATAAAAAAGAAACCCTAGAACACCAAAGGCATCATTTATTTAACCTAACACTGAACACCTGCTAGAACAAGGCTGCTTTGGTTTTTTCTGAATATTGTAGATTTTATTTATTTATGCATTTGTTAGATTTATAATCTGCCTTTGGTCCCAAAGCTCAAAGCAATGAACATCAGACACATCCCTCTATTTTTCCCTACAATAACCCTGTGAGGTAGGTTGGCCTGAGAGGGCCCAAAGTCAGCCACAGCTGCTGTGGGTGAGGGAGGACTACAACCTGGGTCTCCCCACTCCTAGTCTAGCCCCTTCCCCACTAGACCTGATTGGCTCTTGGGCTGAGAGGGAGGGACTAACCCAAAGTCAGCCAATGAGCTTCCATGGCTGAGGGGGGACTAGAACCTGGGTTTACCCACTCCTAGTCCAGCCCCTTCCCCACTAGCCCTGATTGGCTCTTGGGTTGAGAGGGAGGGACTGGCTCAAAGTCAGCCAATGAGCTTCCATGTCTGAAGATGGACTAGAACCCAGGTGTCCCCACTCCTAGTCCAGCCCCTTTCCCACTTTGGCTCCAGGGTCAAGAGAGGGAGGGAAGAGCCCAGAATCCCCCACAAACCCTCAGTGGCAGAAGGGGAACTGAACCGGGTCTCCATAATCCTACTTTGGCACTTCCATCACAACACCTTGCTGGTTCTCCCTTTATGACCCTTTTTAAGTAGCAAAGTCTTAGATTAACTGAAGCAATCCTCCCTCAGCCTTGCAAGTTGATGAGGGCTTCTGATCTTCTAGACCAGTGTTTTTCAACCTGGGCAGCTTGAAGCGGTGTGGACTTCAACTCCCAGAAT